CCTAATCCCACCCCTCCCCTGCAGCCCGGGCCCCAGCAGGTTTTTCCCAATTAAAGAAACTTACACAAAAGTCTTTTTGAAAGGTGCTTTGAAAAGACCTCAAAAATCAACTGATTAAAGAGGTTTTTGGAGAGACCTTTAAATCCCAATTGGGAAAACCCTTATAGGTAGGCTTGGGAGGAAGTGCAAAGGGCCCTTTGAACTCTGTTGGAAGAAACTGTGGCCAAAAGTGTGACAAAAGGGATTTTGAAGGGTTTTAGGCTAACCCCGAGTCCGTGCCGTTTGGGAATCCTTTTTGGCATTGGGGAAATCCCTTTGGGGTTTGGGGGTTAGTGGGGAGGATTGGAAGAGTTGGTGGAGGAGGCAAGAAAAACTAACATGTGAGCTGCTAGATACTTAACAGCAAAAGGCCAACCCCCGAGGAATTTCTTCGGAGGAGGGGAAGAGAAATTGAAGAAATTGGCCTACTTCAAAGATTAAGGGAAAACTGGCAAAATGGGTTGAAGTGCAACCTTTTGGATGAAAATCACCCTACACAGCTTTTGCAAAACCGTGCTGGTGATTATTACCCTGCAGTTGTGAAACACTTTAGGAGTCATAAAAGGGAAAGAGAGGTACAGGCCACTATGGACGGGTATCTGTGCGAAAGAAGTCCCCTGATTGAAGCTGGCCCTAGTGGCATTAAAAGAAGAAGGGGAAATAACCCAGAAAAAAGGGCTTTCTACCTCAATCCTAAGGGAAGGGGGTTTCCCCCTTTTAAACGTAAGAAGATAATGCTCTCCCCCCTCCCATCCATCAATACACCAGCTTTTTAATAAAAAATAGTGTCTTTAATTGTGCAGCCCTTTTTTGTTTGTGTGTATTTTAAAATTAACATTTTATGTGGTAAAAAAATTTTTTTTCATACTTTTGGGCGTCTTTCCGGATTAATTTTATTTCCTTTTTTCTTTTGGGAAAATTCATTCGCATAACATTTTTGCAAACGAGAGCCCCCTTGCAGGATTAAAATCGTTAACCGGGGGTCCCTGTTATAACTCAAACACGGGACCTCTAAAAGTTTTTCAGCCGCGACAGTAAAAGGGTTAATGCTTGAAACGGGCCAAATAAGCCACCTGGGCCGAAGAAAAGTTTCCTTTGTGCCAGACCTTTGGTAAAGAAAGGGTGATAAAATGATAAAATTTAAAAGGAAAGAACACCCCCGAAAGGGGCATTTTCCCCACACACCAACCGGGTATTTTCCCCCCTTTACACCAACCAGGGTATTTCCCCCACACACTAAGGGGGTTTACCTTCCCCACTTCCCAGCCAGGGTACTTCCCATACACCAGACAGGGAAATTTTCCCCCAAAACCACCAAGGGGGTACTTCCCTACATACCAGCCGGGGCATTTTTTTCCCCCCCACTTTCGGGACGGGGGTACTTCCTCACACACCAACGGGGCACTTTCCCACAGACCGGGACAGGGTATTTCCCCCCCAACCTGCCTAGGGGGGCCCCAACAGGCCTGTTGAAACTTTTCCTGCTTTCTTATTTCTTATGTACCCCAGCTGGGGAAAAATGGTTTAGAGGGAGGGAAAAAGAGAGAGGGAAAAAGGGTACCTTAACTTTTGCGAAAAGTGTAGTGGGGGTGCAAACATTTGTGGGGGAAACTTTTAAACCCAAAACCCTCCCCCCTCCTCCCAAACTCTTAAAAACAAACCAAAAGGGGATTTCTTTAAAAAAAGGGTTTTAAGGGGGGGTTAATTTGGATTGTTTTTTTTAAAACTCCAAATTTTTTTTTTTCTAAATTCTTATTTTTTCTGTATGAAAAAATCTTTTTTTTAATCTTTTTAAAAAAAAAAATTTTTTTTTTTTTTTAATATTTTTTGGGTTTTTCCTTTTGGGAAATGGGATTTAATTTTTTTTGGGCCCTTACCTTTTTTTCTTAAATTTGGGGAAAAAAAATTAATTCGGATTTTTCATCAGATTCGGGTTTTTTAGTACTCTCTCGGGGAAAGGGAAAATTTAATTCCCGGAAAACCGGGGGGGTCCACTAAAAAACAAATTTTTGCCGGGAAAATAAAGCTTTAAAAAGCATGACAGGGCAAGTAATACACCTTTTGGGTTTTTTCAGGGGGGTCAGCCCGTGACTGCTTTGGGTATTGGTAATACTTTTTGGGTTTTAAATAAGGGCTCTCTTCTGGGACGGGAGCCCAAGAAATAAGACGGGAAGACAGATAAGAGAGACAAACATGGGAACAGACAAAGACAGAGCTAGACAGACAAACTGACAGAAATGGATAGACAGACACGCTTATTTGTAACAGTGAAAAATAAATCCAAGGCAGTGAACAATCATCAAATGTCACTCCACTGGCAGTGGAGTGATACTTATCTTACACTGTGCTTCAAGGAGTTTCATATAGTATACTCCAGCATTTCTAAAACACTGCTGGGACCTGGCAAAAAAGGCAAAAAATAATTTCTTATTTATAAATAAATTTTTCTTATTTAAAAACCCATAACAAAAAAATTTAGGTGGTTTTTTTGGGGCTGAAACGGATTAATGGCATTTCAATTAATTTCAATGAGGAAAATTAATATGATATACGAGCAAATTGAGTTACGAGCTCAGTCACGGAATGAATTAAACTCTTAAGTCAAGGTACCACTGTACCTATTACCAAATCTCTTTCTATACAAAGTTCAATCAAAGGCCCCCATTATCATTTACCCCTGGCAACCCAAACTCACCTACTAAGCCCTATACAACCATTTCTCCCACTTCAGCATTTACGTTCCCTATCACGAATACTCCCTCACTTGGTTCAAAACTTCCTAAACACTCAATCAACATTTCCCAAAATCTGTCTTTCTCCTCTACACTTCCCTCTTTTATCCAGGTGCAAAAACACTTAGTGTAACTCACTTTTTGCATCCAACCCTTATTTTACTCCATATAATCCTTTAATTTATACATTTATATTCCCTCTTTTCCTGTCATAACTGATCCTTTAACATTATTGCTACTCCTAACTCTCTCAGATACACCTGACCTAACCCCATTAATTTCTCCCCACTGAAACTTCCTTACCCCCTTCAGCTTTGTTTTACTTAGCGCCAGGACATCCAGTTTCTTTTCAATCATAATATTAACAATCATCTCTTCCTTGTCATCTGCACTACATTCACACACTTTCAAACATCCTAACTTCTATAAAGCTTTTCTTCTCATGTTTAGTAATTTATACAGCCCCCTTGGTCCCAGCATTTTAGTTGCCTTTCATGACATGCATGGTTTACAGAGGTAGGACTCTTTTTCCACTTCCCCATAGAGATAAAAGGAAAATAAATAAGAACTATTAAGTAAATAGAAGAAAGCTCAGATGGGTGTATATACATATACATGTACAAGCACATGTGGTATGACCTAAATATAAGCAGAAGTGGCAAGATGTACCTGTTATCTTGCATGTGTAAAACTTAACAAATTTTTTTTTTTTTTTTCAACAAGTCGGTCGTCTCCCACCGAGGCAGGGTGACCCAAAAAAGAAAGAAAATCCCCAAAAAGAAAATACTTTCATCATCATTCAACACCTTCACCACACTCACACATTATCACTGCTTTTGCAGAGGTGCTCAGAATACAACAGTTATTATTATTTGAAAGAGCCTATAAACCAGTCTTTTAAAAAGCCTTCTCCACAATCAAAACCTCTTTTATTCCTTCCAAATTATACATCTCACAGGTCACCAAGTTTCCAGTGAATAATATAATGTACCTGATTTACAAATAAATTAGTTTATTTAAGGAGGCCAAAACAGTAAAGTCCTAGAGTATAGTAACTACACTTTGATATACTGTACCTTTGACAGATTTTAAAAGTTTTTGTACTCCTGTAGTCTGGCAATGAGCTAGGCTGTTCTGGCACTGGCCAGGTCAGCTGTTGTTGCTAGTGGCCTGGTGTACCAACACATAAATGAATGCAAGGCATGGGGTTTAAACAATGCAGCAAGAAGGCTGGAGTTAGTGAAGATGTCATTTTAAAGAGCAATATGTGGTGCATATATTATGCAGAGAATTTGAGGAGTAGAAACTAGATGATGTGGGGTTACCAGAATTTTGAATAAATCAGAGCTTAAAGTTCCTGAGGTGGTTTGGGCACTTAGGATGGAGCAGAACAGGATGACCAAGAGGGTGTATAAATCTGGAAGGAGGGAAGAAAAACTAGGGACCATCCCAGGAAGGGTTGGAAAGAGGGATGAAAGAGGTTTTGAGGGCTAAGGGCTTGAGAATCAAACAGGGTTGTGTGAGCATGTTAGAGTATATACAAGTGCTTTTTCTAGCATGGCATGCTGTTGGAATGTGAGCAAGGTAACATTTATGAAGGGATTCATGGATACCAGATAACCAGACTTGAGTCCTGCATCCTACATTCTGGACAGAGTGAGGATATTGTAGATCAGTGTCACGTGAACTGTGATGCTTGCATGATTCTGGAAAGAAACTATTGAATAAGTGAAGGTGCTTCCTTTTTGCGGAGGGGTTACCCAACATCAGTGGAAAATGGTTCTTGTATTAAAAAAAAAAAAAAGAACACTTAAGTTACCAAACTCTATGATGCACCTCAGGTTTAAGAGAACTTAATTTAAAAAAATGTGTGTAGAATACAAAAATCTTCAGGGCTTTAAATGTTTATACAAGAGTGTACTGTATATTGTAATAAATAGAATAGAGGAAATCACCTCTAACATACAGTACATTATATAGGTAGGCATACTGATCAGAGAGCCTGTCATAAGTCCGAGTTGTTTGTAACGAGTATGTCGCGAAGTGAGGAGAGGCTGTATTGCATACTGGACATTTATATCTAGCATGATCATGGTCCGAACACCACCAGATATGACAAGTTTTACTATACAATACATTATTAACAATATTTTTGTACATAATTCTATTAAAGCAAAAATCTCAATTAAATCATGCTATTTTGTGAAAGAATTAATATTTGGAACTCACTTTGTGACTGGCTTTGGTAATGTGACATATATAGAATTATCAATCTGTTCTGATGGTAAATCCCACACTTTTGTCAGAAGAGCCTGGATGCCATCACGAGCTAAGGAACACAGGTAGGCATCACACTGATCTTCATCTCTGGAAATAAAACATTCTGAAATAGCACAGTTTAATACGAATTATTCCCCAGAACAGCAGCAACACCTGCCCTGAATTATTCTTAAATGATAGCTTAAGCATTTAATATATGCTTAATATATATACAGGTACAGTATACACCTACCATCCGACTTACTACCTGCACGTCTTACGACCACTCGACTTACGACCGTGTTTTTTATGCCAAATTTCTGGGAAATAAACAACTATTTGTGTTGTACACAGTGTTTATCCTAAACCTTACAGTATAAAATACAGTACTAACAGCATAAAAAGTAAAGTAAAACACGAAATACCAAAATAAAACAATAAAATAAAGTCAATACAAAAATGTTTTGTTGATATTCAGTAGTAAAGTTCGACTTACGACCATTTCGACTTACGACCGGTTTCTCGGAACCGAACTCGGTCGTAAGTCGGATGGTAGGTGTACATGACATAGTATTACAATCACTGATAGACATGTAAGAAACTCAATCATATATTTAAACATCTGTTCTAAATTCAGTTAGTGTCTAATGCATGTACAAACAAACTCCCTTCACAACTATTCATAGCAGGTTACTTAAGATAAATCTTAATACCCTCATACATGTCATTCTTATATACCTGTCACCCTTATGCGTGTCTTTCTTATATAGTACTTGTCAGCCTCATACATGTCTTTCTTAAATACAGTGGAACCTTGGTTTTCCTCTTTGATTCGTTCCAGAGAGCCTGACGAAAACCAAATTTGATGAAAACTGAAGCAATATTTCCCATAAGAAATAATGTTAATCCAATTAATCCATTCCAAACACCCAAAAATATTAACAAAATATACATTTTATAGAGAATAACTATAGTTTTACATACAGAAAACAATGAGAAATAAATATAAAGCACTAATGAAATGGATAAATGAACATTTAAATCACTTTTACCTTTATTGAAGACTCTTGTTGGCATGTGGAAGACAGTGAGGAGGGGAGAGGGAGAAGTTATCTTAACCAACCCTCTACCTGGGGAAAGAGAAGAGTAAGAGAGAGAGAACGATAGTTTACGAGATACAGAGAGAGCAATGAGAGAAAGAATGATAATGAGACGATGAGAAGAAATAATGAGAGAGAGATAAGAAGAAAGAGAGAGAGAGAGGAGAGACAGAGAAAGAGAGAAAGAGAGAGAAGAAGTTAAACGAAAGAGAGAGGAAGAGAGAGAAAGATGAGAGAAAGAGAGAAGAGAGAAAGAGAGAAGTAAAATGGAGAAAGAGAGAGAGAAACAGAAGAGAGAGAAAGAGAAGGAGAAGAACTAGAAAATGAGAGGAAGAGATGAGAGAAGAAGAGAGAAAGGAGAAAAGAAGAGAGAGAAAGAGGAGAGAAGAGAGAGAGAGAAAGAGAGAGAGAGAGAGAGAGAGAAAAGGAGAGGAGAAAGAGAGAGGAGAGAAGAGAAGAGAGAAAGAGAGAGAGAGAAAGAGAGAGAGAGAGAGAGAGAAAGAGAGAAAGAAGAGAGAAGAGAAAGAGAGAGAGAGAGAGAGAGAGAAAGAGAGAGAAAGAGAGAGAAGAGAAGAGAGAGAAAGAGAGAGAAAGAGAGAGAAGAGAGAGAGAGAAAGAGAGAGAAAGAGAGAGAGAAAGAGAGAAGAGAGAGAAGAGAGAAGAGAGAGAAGAAGAGAGAAGAGAGAGGAGAGAGAGAAAGAGAGAAAGAGAGAGAGAAGAGAGAAGAGAGAGAGAGAAGAGGAGAAAGAGAGAAAGAGAGAAGAGGAAGAAGAAAGGAGAAGAGGAAAGAAGGAAAAGAGGAAAAAGAAAAGAGAGAGAGAAGAAAGAGAGAAAGAGAGAGAGAAGAAAGGAGAAGAGAAAAGAGGAGAGAGAGAAGAGAGAAAGAGAAAAGGAGAGAGAGAGAAAGAGAAGAGAAAGAGAGAAGAGAGAGAAAGAGAGAAAGAGAGAGAGAAAGAAGAGAAAGAGAGAGAGAGAAAGAGAGAAAGAGAGAGAGAGAGAGAGAAGAGAGGAGAAAGAGAGAGAAAAGAGAAGAGAAGAGAGAAAGAAGCGAAAAGAGAAAGAAAGAGAGAGAGAAAGAGAGAGGAGAAAGAGAAGAAGAGAGAGAAAGAGAGGGAAGAGAGAGAAAGAGAAGAAAGAGGAGAGAGAGAGAAAAGAGAGAGACGACGATGCTACAGCAGCAGCAGACGATGCTACAGCAGCAGCAGACGATGCTACAGCAGCAGCAGACGATGCTACAGCTGCAGCAGACGATGCTACAGCAGCAGCAGACGATGCTACAGCAGCAGCAGACGATGCTACAGCAGCAGCAGACGATGCTACAGCAGCAGCAGACAATGCTACAGCAGCAGCAGACGATGCTACAGCAGCAGCAGATGATGCTACAGCACCAGCAGACGATGCTACAGCAGCAGCAGACGATGCTACAGCAGCAGCAGACGATGCTACAGCAGCAGCAGACGATGCTACAGCAGCAGCAGACGGTACTACAGCAGCAGCAGCAGCAGCTGACGGTGGTACAACAGCAGCAGCAGCAGCTGACGGTGGTACAACAGCAGCAGCAGCAGCAGCTGACGGTGGTACAACAGCAGCAGCAGCAGCAGCTGACGGTGGTACAACAGCAGCAGCAGCTGACAGTGCAGCAGCAGCTGACGGTGGTACAGCAGCTGTACCACCAATAGTAGCGATGGTTGATTGGGGTTTATTATACAACCTGGCCAGCTCGGAGACACGCACTCCACTTTCATACTTATCAATGATCTCTTTCTTCATCTCTATAGTAATTCTCACCCTTATTGCTGTAGGGTTGGCACTAGAAGCTTTCTTGGGGCCCATGGTCACTTATTTTCCAGAAAAAATCACCAAAAACACTGTAATAATACGAAATGTTCCGATTGTATGCTTAGATGTTACCGCAGAGGCTGGCTGGTAAACAATGCCACCGGCGGAACATGTGAGCGTGGCTCAGGCCGCACATTGGACGCGTCTCGGACGAAGAGCGGTGAGCGGGTTTTTGGGCGGTATGCGAGGCAAAATTTTTGTGAAAAAAGCGAGCGGTATGCGAATTGTACAGTATGCAATGCGTGGGTCCACTGTACATTATTTCTTATGGGAAATATTGCTTCAGCTGTTATCACCAATTTCCATTTTCGTTGACTCTTTTCGTCGATATTTTGGCTCCGTTTTTGTCGATCATATGGAACCTGCACAGTGCCCAGCCCGCAGACAAAGCCACCTCCCACACGAATTCTCAGGTAGTGTCGCGTTGTTTCTTGGTGAGTGAACATATCCTGCCTGGTCATACGAAACATTTCGTAATAATCCATTGTTTTTGGCACTTGTGTGTGTGACTGCTAAATAAGCCAACATGGCCTCAAAGAAAGCTTCTAGTGCCAGTCCTTTGGTAAAGAAAGTGAGGAACACCATAGAAATGAAAAAAGAAATTGTTCAAAAATATGACAGTGGCATACACACTGCTGAACTCGGCAGGATGTACGGGAACACGTCATCAACGATCAGCTCCATTGTGGCAAAGAGCAAAGGAATCATGGAAGCTGTTGTTGCAAAAGGGGTGAATGCAATAAGCAAACAGAGATCCCAAAGAATTGAAGAAGTGAAGAAATTGTTGTTGGTGTGGATCAGAGAGAAAGAGTTAGCAGGAGATAGTGTTGTGCAGTCGATAATTTGTAAAAAGGCAAGGCAGTTGCATGGTGATCTCATAAAGAAACTGCCTGAAACAAGTGCTGATGTTGGTGAATTTAAGGCCAGCAAAGGCTGGTTCAAAAAATTCAAGAAGTGAAATGACATACACAGTGTTGTAAGGCACGGTGAGGGTGCCAATTCTGATAAACAAGAGGCTGAAAAATTTGTGTGGGAATTCAAAGGTTATGTAGAGGGTGAAAAATTCCAATCCCAGTAAGTGTTCAATCATGATGAAACAGGATTTCAAAGTGAAGCCTTTATTCATGTATCACTGAAAATCCCAGTGTTCAAGAAAAACAGTGTTGTCAAGAGTAAATTGTATGTGATGTAGAAGGCTAACAGTAGGGCATGGGTCACGAGGGAAATTTTCCTGGAATGGTTCAATGAAGTGTTTGGCCCAAGTATGAAGAAATACCTCCTGGATAATAAATTACAACTCAAGTGCTTCCTGTTAATGGACAAGGCTCCTGCTCATCCTCCAGACTTGGAAGAACAACTTTCTAAGGAATTCAGTTTTGTAATGGTGAAGTTCTTGCCTCTTAACACCACTCTTCTCATCCAGCCCATGGACCAGCAGATCATTGCAAACTTCAAAAAACTGTACACTAAAGCAGTTTCAAAGGAGCTTTGACATAACCTCGGACACTGAATTGACCCTAAGAGAGTTCTGGAAGAATCAATTCAATATCTTCCACTGCATAAGCCTTATAGATAAGGCTTGGCAGGGAGTGACTTCCAGGACGATGAACTCTGCTTGGCAAAAACTGTGGCCAGATTGTGTCCAAAAGAAGGATTTTGAAGGGTTTGAGGCTGATCCTGTCAACCCTATACCTATTGTGCAATCAACTGTGGCATTGGGGAATTCCATGGGGGTTGGATGTGAGTGGCAAGGATGTGGAAGAGTTGGTGGAGGACCACAATGAAGAGCTAACCACTGATGAGCTGAAAGAGCTTCATCTGCAACAGCAACAGACCACAGCTCAGGAAACTGCTTCAGAGAAGGAGGAAGAGAGATGGAAGAAGGTGCCTTCTTCGAAGATTAATGAGATTTGTGCAATGTGGACATCACCCTGACAAAGCTGTTGCAATCTGTGCTGGCGACTTTTACAAATACAATGCCATGTCCCATTTTAGGCAAATCTTAAAGTGACACCAGAAACAGAGCACTCTGGACAGTTATTTTGTGGGACAGTGGTCCAGTGACTCTCAAGCTGGTCATAGTGGGATTAAAAAACAAAGGAGGGAAGTGACCCCAGATAAGGATATGGTACCTAGAGTCCTTATGGCAGGGAATTCCCTTTCCAAAGA